CTTGGTCACCTCTCCTAACAAGGCCCTTTTCCCCCGATTACTTAGTTTGGTGGGGCGGTCAACTCTAGAAAGAGTCCTGCTTGTTCCAAACTTCTTCTATTTACGAATTATGGAGGCCACTGTGGGCTTTGGAACTTTCAGTGCAGCAGAAATTTTTTTGTTGCCTTCTCCAGATGTGCCTTCACACATCATCTTGTCTCTGAGCTTGCCAGCAGTTCTTTCCTCCTCATGGCTTGGTTTTTGCTCTGAAATGCATTGTCAGCGGTGAGACCTTTTATCATCTCCTATCAACTGAATTTACCTCAGGGGGACTCCAATCAAGGTGTAGGAACATCTCAAAGATGATCAAGAGAAACTCCCAGAGCATGTGTGTGTGGTATATATATATACTTTCTTTTGATTTCAGTTTGACTTTAAGTACCCCAACCAAGGATGTACCCTAACAGCATGTCAGTGATTAGGTTAACTGAAGGCACGATGAGTCCTGTTTTGTTTTATATTCTTTCTCTGGCTGCCGTACAGACTTTAGTCTAAACCCCAGCCAGAGAACTCCTCTACACTGCTTATGTGATTTAGCCTGCTGCTGCTGCTGCTGCTGCTGCCATCCTGGACTTTACTGTTCTTGGCAGCAGAAGTTTGTGTGTTTACTGCTGATCCTGAATTCCTCTGTTATTCTCCACACAGTTCACACACAGTTTCACTGGACATCATCTCACACTGACTGCTGCAAAATATAATATGCCATTCAGCCTAAAAAATAACTGGGGTCCACAAACTCGCCCCCATGTCAAATCAGATGTTTCTATGTCTGTTTCTCTCCCTGTTTCTCTCTCTTTGTGATAACCCAGCACAGAAATACAGTTCAAATGTTTCCTGAATCTGTAGAGTCGCCCTTTCCATTCCATCTTATCACTCACATCTGGAGTTATGAGTCTATTAAGAGGGGCTGAGATACACGTCATCTGCCTCTCACTGTGTGGAACTAGTGGATTTGTGTGTCTGTCTACATTTTGTGTGAAACTCAGGAAGTCACTAAAGACTGACCCAAAACCCTTCAATCTTCATTCAGTCCACATCAGAGACACATGCGAAATGGTGTGCAAAGAGTTTACATCTGCTGAAGTTGCTGCAGTGGTTTTGGAAAGTAATAAAAAAGATAATGGAGCATTTTGGTATGAAACATATAAGTATAAGGTTATACACCAATCAGGCATAACATTATGACCACCTCCTTGTTTCTACACTCTTTGTCCATTTTATCTGCTCCACTTACTATATAGGTGCACTTTGTAGTTCTACAATTACAGACTGTAGTCCATCTGTTTCTCTGCATACTTTGTTAGTCCCCTTTTACCCTGCTCTTCAGTGGTCAGGACCCCCATGGACCCTCACAGAGCAGGTACTATTTGGGTGGTGGATCATTCTCAGCACTGCAGTGACACTGATGTGGTGGTGGTGTGTTAGTGTGTGTTGCGCTGGTCTGAGTGGATCAGACACAGCAGTGCTGCTGGAATTTTCTAAACACCTCAGTGTCACTGCTGGACTGAAAATAGTCCACCAACCAAAAATATCCAGCCAACAGCGTCCTGTGGGCAGCGTCCTGTGACCACTGATGAAGGACTAGAGGACGACCAACACAAACTGCAGCTTTACATCTACAAGGTGGACTGACAAGGTAGGAGTGTCTAATAGAGTGGACAGTGAGTGGACAGTGTTTAAAAACTCCAGCAACACTGCTGTGTCTGATCCACTCGTACCAACACAACATACACTAACACACCACCACCACCAGTTTATCCTATTATTGTTCAGTTATTACCAAAACAAAATGTCTACATGACCATTTTTCAGCCCCTTAGAATTAAACAGACTGCTTGTGTGTCTGTAAGACTGATACATGTAAATGAACTCTGCTCTGATTGTATGCCCTGTATTAGGCCTCATTCAAAAAGCACTCAGAGTGTTATAACTTCAGTGTTGGTGGGTAGAGCTAAACTGCTGAATAAGTGTATATATGTACATTGAAACATCACAAAAAGACAATTCACAATTTTTGCAGCATAGCTTTCATACATGGACTGTTTGGACTTGTGAATGGCATGTTTTAAAACTTTAAAAATGTTTTCTTATTACTTTTTTTTTCAAAAAGCAAGGAAAAATTGGTTTTCCATGACATATATCCTTTAAACCTTCCCTATCTACTGTAAAACTAATATGGATCTTTGGATCTTTAGAACATTGTCAGTGCCTGAGTACAGTTGTGTTGTTTGATGTGAAACAAGTCTGTTGGTCTGTGAAAAACTAAATAAACAAAAGCATCACTTTTTGCTGTTTTTAATCAAAAGTGACAAAATTCATAGCTCATAATGCCCTGATTTCACTACACACAGATGTGTTGAATATGTCTGTTCACACACAGGATCACGTGAGGGGACAGGGTCTATGGGTGCCAGTGGGGGCACAATATAATGATATATTTATCACATGCATTTATTTTTAATACATGTCTTGAAGAGAGGGGATGAAACGAATGAACACACACACACACACACACACACACACACACACGCACACACACACACACACACACACACACAGATACAAAAAATATATATAGTGTATATTTTATTTTCATTTTTATTTCTTTGTTATAATGTTATAATAATAATTATTATTATTATCCACTATCACATGTATTCTTTCTTTTCTGACGTAACAAAGCCTTCAGTCAGTAACTTTATAGAAGGAGGAAAATATGTTTTTAAATTTTATGTACATTTTTGTAATTATATATTTTAAACATTTCTATTGGTCCATCCATCATGAAATGTTCACACAATGTAAAGCACTTGTTTTTTGTTTTTTTTGTTTTTTCAAATTACCTCCGCCTACATATGCAATTAAGCAGAATAAGTCAGGACAGGCCAGGGAAAGTTCACACTCATCTGATGCATATTATCAATGCCACATTAAAACATCATAATTTTTGTTATTGTTGTTGTTGTTGTTTTAAAACTTAAAACTGCCGGATCCCATTGAAACAGACAATGAAATTAAATAATTGTAGATGGAAATGGGTGTGGCATTACAATGAAAATGAGTGTAGTGTAACCATGCAAACAGGTGTAGGCTGTAGGGTAACACATGGATCCAAGAAAGTAGAAAAAAGAAATGGAAATAAGTGTGGCATTCCCATGAAAATGTGTAGCGTAATCATCGTAACCTAAGAAAGAAATGGGTTTAGTGTAACCATAGAAATGGGTTTACTGTAACCATAGAAATGGGTCTAGTGTAACCATAGAAATGAGTTTAGTGTAACCATAGAAATCGGTCTAGTGTAACCATAGAAATGGGTCTAGTGTATCCATGGAAATAGTTCTAGAATAACCATAGAAATGGTTGTAAAGTAATCATAGAAATGGGTCTAATGTAACCATAGAAATGGGTGAAGCGTAACCATAGAAATAGTTCTAGAATAACCATAGAAATGGTTGTAAAGTAACCATAGACATGGGTGTAATGTAACCATAGAAAAGGGTTTAGTGTAACAATAGAAATGGGTCTAGTGTAACCATTTAGATGGGTTTAGTGTAACCATGTAAATGAGTGTAGTGAAATCATAGAAATGGCTCTGAAGTAATCATAAAAATGAGTGTAGTATAACCATAGAAATGGTTGTGATGTAACCATAGAAATGGTTGTGATGTAAGCATAGAAATGGGTGTAATGTAACCATGGAAACAAATACAGTATGACCATGGAAATAAGTGTAGCATAGCCATGGAAACGAGTGTAGCATAACCACAGAAGTGGGTATAGCATATCCACAGAACTGGGTGTAGCGTAACCATGGAAACAAGTGTCTCCCATTGATCCATATATCAGTGGTGAAGTTAGATATAATTTTTATGCTGTAATTCTATGACAGCTGGACAGTAAGAGTAGATCTGCACTAATTACAGATTTAGCTTTGAAAGGCTTGAGGGGACATTGGTTGGTGGGGGGTATGATTACGCATTCAGTTCCATGAGTGCAGTCCATTCTTCTCTGTTGAACAGTTTGTTTTGGTTTGTGGAGATGCGGCAGAGCCCAGCTGAGGAATCCAGCTTTAACCATTGTGTCAGACAGCAGGGGTGTGAGGGGTGGGCTTGGTATGAGCTCGGTGGGTTTTTTCACCAAAACACACCTCAGTTTTTATGAGTGGTGCGCTACTCCATGATTTGGGTGCAGCTTTGCTGCTGTTGTATTTTCACTGAGGCACCTGCGTCTGTTACACTTCATTCTTCCCTCATACACACACACACACACACACACACACACAGAAACAGAGAGATGTGACTCTTTCGACTGTATTTAACCTCAGCCCTGTGCTTTAATACGCTGAAGTGATTTTCCTTCTTGCTGAAAGAGGAAGCGGAGTGAAAAAAATCTCCACTGACAGCCACTCTCCTCAGAGAGAGAGAGCATAGTAGAGAGAGATAGAGAGTGAGAGGAGGAGGAGGGAAAGAGAAAGAGGGAGAGAGAGATGAAAGAGAAAGAGAGATAGTGAAAGAGGGGGAAGAGAGAAAAGAAGGGGGAGAGAAAAAGAGAGAGTGAGAGAAAGAGGGAGAGAGATTGTAAAAGAAAGTGAAAAAGCAGGAGGGAGAGAGAAAGGAAAAGAGCGATAGAGAAGAAAAAAGAGAGGGGAAGAGATAGAGAGGAAAGAGGAGAGAAAGAAAGTGAGAGAAGAGGGAGGGAGAGAAAGGAAGTGAGAAAAGAGGGACAGAGAGATAAAGAGGGTGTAGGGAGAGTGAGGAAGCAGGAGAGAAATATATATATATATAAAGAGAGAGAGAGAAAGAGGAAAGAGGGAGAGAGAGATAAAAAAGGTGTAGGGAGAGAGAGGAAGCAGGAGAGAAATATAGAGACAGAGAGAAACAGAGGAAAGAGGGAGAGAGAGATAGAGAGAGAACAGGGAGAGAGAGAGAGAAGGAGAGAGGGAGGAGGGAGAGAAAGAGAGAGAGAAAGGAAGAGGAGGGGGGAAGAGAGAGAGAGAGAGAGAGAGTGAGCAAGAGACCCAGCCTCAGCCTCTATTGTGATTCGCAGGCAGGGGGATTCAGATAAAAAAACAGCTTTTTCCCAGCCACGGACGCAACACTGGTCACTGCCGTAGAATCGCCCCAAACAGCCCCAAAAATGGAGGAAGACATGGATGAGGGACAGACCCAGAAAGGTAAAAAATGCATTTTTCTCTTTTTCTTCTCCTTTTTCATCATCTGTCTTTGTAGATACACTTGTTTACCTTTGGGTCTGTCTAATCCGCCTGTGCTGCCTCTATTGTGTCTGAGCCTGTGGATTATAGAATGAGGTTACAACAATATACGGATATGGGCTTATAAAGTATTACTTATTTTATTCATTTTTGAATAAAATTGCATTGAATTTGCATAGTTTTTTTTTTAACCTCTGCAGTTTGCATTCAGTGCATGCTTGCAAATCATAACACATAATGATGTATCACAGTGATTGATGTCAAGAAATTTTTATTTTCTTTATTATTTATTTATTTTTTGTAACACCAAATGCACTGTGTTGGTGTAAATCACACTGCTGCTTAACATGTAGATAAAAAAAATCAATATTTGTCACAGAAGGTGTGATTTAGCGCTGGTTTGGTGAAGGGGCGTGTGCAGGCGGTGGATGCTGTGCGTGTGCACAGAGAGAGAGAGTGAACGCTCTGAGGGTTGTCTTTGTTTGCTGCGCATTTCCAACCGTCTCTCTCTGAAGGCTTTTTGAGACTGAAAGAATGAGAGAATGAACGTTCAATTCTACTTCATTTGTCTGCATTTCCATCTTTTCCCTCTTGCCTTGGTGACGGCAGCGCTTGTTTGACTGAAGACTGAAGCTGTGCTGTTTATTACAGCTCCATATGTGGGGCGTCGAGGCTTTTGTGGCCAGTGCACTGAGCTCTGTATGGGCATGTTTACATTCAGCCAGGAAATATTTAGATATTTTACACATTCTACATATTTTTCAGACCTCTTTCTTTCTAACATGGACATTTTTATTGTAATAAAAAAGGGTGTAGTAAAATAGAACTGATGTCTGCACATCTCTTTCTTCTGGTCTTTATGTACTGCTCTCTCGTCCTCCCTCTCTCTCTCTCTTTCTCTCTCTCTCTCTCTCTCTCTCTCCATCTCCATGTTTTTCTGTTCTCCCACTGAAAGCAATGCATGATGGGCAGGAGAACAGCCAGTTGCCATGACAGTGGCCATGTCCTTCTCATACACAGTAGGCTCAGTGTGTATGTATACATATATACATATATATATATATATATATATATATGGTGAGAGAGAGACGGCAGTGATATATATATATATATATATATATATATATATATATATATATATATATATATATACAATTATTTATTCACTTAGTTTAACATATTGGGGAAAAAGTCATAAAATAAGGTGCCATAATTTTCCACCCAATATGTTAAATTCAACAAAACAGTGCATTAAAATGTGCAGAATTGTGTTCTCTGTGGAGGGTGTGTTAACTTATTTACACTTAGAAAATTAACAAACGCCGTTTCAAACAGGGGAGCCCAAACTTTTGCATATGACTATAATTACGACTGTAAGTCATTTTGCCTCTTTTCTATTGGTCCACTTATCATGAAATTCTGACACAATGTGAAAAGCAGTTTGCATATTCAAATAAATTCTGCAAAACCAGAATTTCTTTACATATGCAGAACTGGCCAAAAGTTGTTTTAGGCACCTGATGAGCTATTTAATTGGGCAGTAAGCATTTACTTGCTCAACAAAACACTAATGTTAGAATAAATGCCAATAACTTTAATACCATATGTGATTTCATGCTTGTCAATGTGTTTGTTTTCCCATTTTTTCAAAACCTCTTCCATGTTGCAGCCCAGTGTTAATGGTCACTCTCACTGTGGGTTGACAGTGTGGTGATGTTCTCAGGGTGGAGTGATTCTAGTTTGTTGCTATTGCATTTCTATGGATGCATTCCTCATGAAATTGTCTGACAGTGTGAACAGCTGCCAAGCTCAAATAATGTAGGAAAATAAAGATCACAAAAAATGCAGATACATGTTTCTCTTTGGACAGCAATGATATATTAAGGTCTAAATGTCTTATTATTTACAGCATTATCTGAAGTGTGGCGGTGTAGTGTATCTGTAACTGAGGCGTATGGTGGGAGGGGCAGGGTTTTAAGTATGCTGATTTTTCCTTGTAGTGCAAGAAAACTGTGTTCTGGTTTCTCTATCATGGCTGACAGAGTAGCCTTGCTGAGTCTGTTGGCTCCATCAAATCTTCACACATCTGCATTAAAAATTCATCCAGCAAAGCCTCCAGAAGCCCATTAGCAGCAGTGCTAGCACCTAGCTAATGCTTACAGTGAGGAGCTATGAGACGAGTGTTACTAAAAACTCACTAGACACAACACCTGCGGGGAGAGGCCTAAATATGGTAGTAGGCTAGCATAGGCTAGAAAAATATTCAAATTTATTTGTGATACAAATGTCTGAAATCACATTAAGTCTTACTTAACAACTTACCAAACGTGATTGCATGCCATTGCATGATACTAATTGCTAGCTGCCATTATAAGGTTTTAGTGCTTGTTAGCGACATTAGCTTCATAGCTCCAGTGTAAAAACAAAGGAAGCAAACATGCAAAATTGTCTAGATTTAATTTTTTTGATTAACTATGTGATGGGAAAATGTTTCAGAAAGCATTTGTTAAAATTACAGGCGACTAGCTTGTGAAATCACTTTGTTTTTGTGGATTTCTTTACTGAGGCCTTCTTCTCCATCCGCTAAAACTACTGTTATCTCTTTCCTGCTGTTTCCTCTTTTTCCTTCCTCTGGAAAGCTTTAGTCATGGAGAACCATGGTATTCTCTCAAGATTTGAAGCTGCTTAGATGCTTCACTTGTGTACTGTAGAGGGACAGTGGCAGGCCAGCTGTTGAGCCTGAGGGAAAACAGCTTTCTGACTCTGTGAAGGAACCCAGCACTGCTAACACTGCATCAGCACACAGCAGGGGCTTCGCTTTCTCCTTATGAGTCATTACTGGAAGTCAAAAGCACTCACACACTCCTTATATAGCCACATGGAGCTCAGGGTTTGGAGTAAGAGTGGGTGATATGAGAAAAATATACCATCATTACACTTTAAGATATTTCATAATGAATGTGCAAGTTAACTCAAGTTAAAACTATGAGTATAATGGTTAATAATAACAGGCCCCAATAAAAACATTAATAGGCAACACCATCTGAATTATTAACCATTTACTTAGAGCCATACAAGTACCTAAATCACTGTAAATGCTTTTTTGTAAGTGTTTTATATTTAAGTGCAATAAGTGATAATGTATATCTTTAGAAATACATTATAAAGTAATTTTAAAATAGGGGTCCAATTAATGACTATTAATGTGTAAAAAAATAATCAGTTTTGTTTAAGTATGGAAAAGAAAAATATACAAGGAAGGCACAAGAGAAATGATCATCTCTGAAACTGGTAACTTAACAGTAGAAGGAAGAAGATGGTAAGGGCAGCGTTCATATGGCTACGTAAGACTCTCATGACAATTGACATAAACCTGCACAAACATTCATAATGTCTCATTCCATCAGGTGTCAGTGTTCATGAAGGCTGCTTTTGTTCATTTTCTGTGTCATTTCATCTCAGCAAGTGTTATGTGGGGAATAAGCGTTTATTAATGTCTATATAGGTTCATGTCAGTTGTCTTAAAAGGCTTATGTAGGTGTCATGTAGCCTTATGAGCACTGCCCTTCCCCAAAAAGGTTCTACACTGTACTGTTTACTTAAAGGGGACATATTATGCTTTTCCACTTTTCCTGTTTCCTTTAGTGTGTTCTAATCTTTTGTGCATGTAAACAGTCTGCAAAGTCACACAGCTCAAAGTTGACTCAAGAAGGAGAAACTCTCTGAATAGAGATGTACAATATGAGGAAAATAATGTTTTTTTGGAACACTGAAGCATGTAAATCTATTCTAGTAAAGCCCAAAAACAAAGTTATGAACACTGAAAACGAGCATAATAGGTCTCTTTTAAAATACGCAATTTTACTCCAAGTACTTTTGGATTGTTACTAATAATCCATGCAATGAAAAGTTCACACAATGTAAGGGGAGCTGATGTTTCCCACTGGTGCAAAAAATCTGAACTGAAAAGAATAAATTTACAAAGATCAGTATATGTATGACTCCATAGCTAAAGATCAACAATACTGTTTAGATATGATAGATAGAATTTGATTAACATCGCACACATTTAGCTGTTGCCATATTTTCAACATACCAGTGGTTAGTGCGGCAATGATCATTTGCACAGTGTTAGTTAATAAAGCATCCTGACAGATCAAATATAGCCATAGTGACTTGTGAGCTTCATGGCTGTATTAACAACATCAACAGAAAAGAAAATGCTGTGAGCTTTTATAGCGTCCAGACTGTCCAACGCCATCGAGGCTGGAGAGCCGAAACAGCCAAGGAGAAATCTTTGGATAGTAAGAATAAACAGCAAAAACATTAGCTAGACCGATAGATGAAGGAATGAATTCTGCAGTCTTTATCATTTTCGAATGACATTGATAAATCACTTTTGCAAGCTAACGATTTATTTCTAAATCTCTTCCACTTTAACTCCACGGTGAATGCAGTTAATGGCAGAATGTTAGCAGGTCTCATGCTAGCTTAAGCTAATGTCAGGCTAACACTGATTAACCCCGTGAAACACAGATATGCAGCTGTTACTCACTTTTGCGATGACGACAGCGTTTGATATTGTAGATGATGTATAGACAGACTGAATAATTCTACAATTCTATTGTTTTGTATGCTTTTATCGTCTGTGATGTGTACGATGTTGCAATATATATGGTAAATCGTAGTGTATGTCTAGATATGTTATTGAGGGCAATAACGCATAAGCAGGGCTCAAAGACAACTTATTGATTTGGTACCAATCAACACCTCCAAACAAACTGACTTTTTCCTTATATCTTGATTTGAAAGCCGTAGCCAGCATTAACTGCTCACATATTACACTGATGAATATCAGCAATATGGCCGTGGGACGCTCCTTCCAGGTTTGATGCATTTTATCTATACTGGATAATACATTTATAACCTGGCAGCATTTAGTAACTCTTCCCTGACAGTGA